TAGCGGGGCTTGTGATTGGAAATGTTTGGGTTACTGTGGGGATGATGTATGGGATTCCCAATAACGCTCAGCATGAGCATGCCAAATACAACACAGAAGTACTGCTGGCTGAACTGGTGGAAAGGGTTGCTTGTCAAAGCGTTGGACCGCGGGCCATTGGGGGTGACTTTAACTTTGCCTCGGAAGAACTGGGTCAGACACGTCGCTTGCTGGATTTGGGCTTTAGAGAAGTTCAAGAGGTTGCTGCTTTGCGTTGGGGACAGTCGGCTCAGCTCACCGGGAGGGGGCAGCGTCGCATTGATCAACTATGGCTGTCCCCTGAACTTCAAGCCATGCTGATTGGAGTCCGTGTGCACCACGACATGTGGGCTGACCATGCTGCAGTTGAAGCCACTTTTGCGCCTGTTTGTGCCCCGTCCTTTCCTTATTGGAGAATGCCGCAAGCCTTCCCGTGGCCTCGGGACTGGGTTTGCCCTGTCCAAATTGACCCACAAGGTGATTTGACAGTTGCATATGCCAGTATGTGGGCCCAGGTTGAACAAGGAGCTCAGGTTTGGAATTCGCACCATGGACTTGCGTGCACCCGAGCTCAGCTGGGTAGGGGCCAAACACTTGAAACAGTTTTGAGGTCCCCTCACCAGGTCCCATGCAGGAAAGCCAGGGTGGGTGAAGTAGATCCAGGGTTTCTTGGGGTCAGCTTGCAGCATGCTCGGTATTTCAAGCAGCTTCGCCGACTGCAGGCCTTGAGCCAACAGCTTCAGAAAGGTGTTTCATCCTTGAATGCGAGCCTCAACCGAGATGAAACTTGGAGGGTTGTCCGTCGTGCACCTGGTTTTGCTGGTGGATTTTGTGCTTGGTGGTCCTCCCAAGGGTTGTCTCCTGTGTTCCCTTCTGGCATGCCGTTGATTTGTCCTTGTGCTACCACCCTTACCTCCATGTTCACTGCCATGAATGCATGGGTCAAATCCTATGAAGCTGGATTGGCACAAAGGCGATACCAATTCGGCAAGCAACGCAGAGTACGTGACATGAAGTATGTCTTCCAAGACTGCAAAATGGCGATGGCGCCACCAGTTGATACTTTGCTTGAACGCCTTGAGGTTGGGATTGATGAAGTGAGGGAGGACGAGTCTGCACTGGTCCTGACTGATGCCGTTGACCTTTTGCCTGACCTGCCGGTTGTTGTGCATGGACGTGTTGTGAAGGTTATTCACCATGAAGCTGACCAGCTGTGGGTTGAGGATGTTACTGGAATCACTCCCGGTCACATGGTCACGCAAGAGCGAGCTACTCTCTCTGAACAAGACATCATTAAGAAGTTTCATGATGTTTGGGTGCCCCGTTGGAATAAGGCTCACCATGTCCAACTAGGTCAGTGGGAACAAATATGTGGTTTTGCTGAGCGGGCTTTTCAACCAGTTGATTGGTCTTTTCAACCATGGACAGGCGACAGGTTTCAACATGCGGTAGCAAGGAAGAAGAAAACTTCCGGTCGTGGTCCTGACGGGGTTGGACAAATGGATTTGGCTGCCTTGCCTCCACAGGCGGTTTCTGCGTGCGTTTCAATCTTGCAGGCAGTTGAAGATGGTGCGAGATGGCCGACACAGGTAGCTTGTGGTTTTGTGAATAGCCTGGCCAAACACCTTCAAGCTCAACATATAGATGACTATAGACCTGTAACGGGTTACAGCCTCTTCTACAGGGTTTGGTCTTCTGAACGAGCTCGGGAAGCACTGAGAGCTCTCCTTCCTTGCCTCCCTGAGAGCATTCAAGGTGGGGTCCCAGGTCGCCAAGCCAAAGCAATATGTTACCAAGTTGCACAAACACTTGAGTTTGCATTCATGGATCAGCAGCCGGTTCATGGACTTTTAATGGACATCAGGAAAGCTTTCAATGCCATACCGAGATATCCCTTGTGGTGTGCCTTGCGGGCCCTTGGATTTCCGGTCCACGTCTTGCGTGCCTGGTGTTCATTTGTCGCAGGTCAAACTCGAAGGTTCAAGGTACGCCAAGCTGTTGGCGAAGCAGTTGCATCCAATTGTGGCTTGCCCGAGGGTTGTGGTTTATCTGTCCTTGGAATGATTGTGGTTGATTGGTTGCTTGACTGTTGGCTTGCGGCACATACCAAAGGAGTTGATCTGCGGGCTTTTGTCGATGACTGGGGTCTTCTTTTTGGCGATGTCAGTTCTTTCCCTACCTTGTGGGCCGAAGTTCAGGAGTTTGTCTCTGCGTTGGATCTGTCCCTAGACATGAACAAAACACGTGCTTGGAGCTCAGATGGTGCTTCCCGCGCTGAATTGCGGCAGTCAGAGGTTTTGCTAGCGATGTATGCCAGGAACCTGGGAGCCCACCAGAACTTTAGTAAGCATTGTTGGAATAGTGTGCTTCAAAAACGGCTGAAAGTGATGCCTGCTGTGTGGCCTTTGTTGCGGGCTAGCCTCAGCCCTTATGCACATAAGGTTCATGCTTTGCAAGTTTTGGCATGGCCCCGGGCATTGCATGGGATCTCAGTTGTCCATTTGGGGCAGTCCCACTTCAAAGTTCTTAGAACCGGAGCCATGCGTGGACTACGCTCAGACCGAAAAGGGGCGAATCCAGTGCTCCACTTGTCTACTTTGAACCTTTTGGCAGATCCGGAGGCATGGACCATCTTGCAAACCTTCCGTGACGCCAGAGAGTTGGGAGGTTACGAAAGAATGGAGACCATACTGGGTTTGTTTGCGGCAGCTCCTCTTGATCTTCCTCGTAATGGTCCTACTGCAGTTTTGGTGTCAAGGGTCAAAAGATTAGGATGGACTTTGGGACCCCATGGGATAGTTCAAGATCGCCTGGGTTCTTTCAGCTTGTTCTCTGTCTCATGGGATGAGTTGATCATGCGATTCCGCCTAGCTTGGTCCAGTGTTCTTCACGAATCTGCAGGGCATCGGCCTACGTTTGGTGGATTGGATGAAGTTGACTTGACTGCGACCCAACAAGCCCTGACTCACTTCAGTGCTGCTGACCAAGTGTTCCTGCGCTGTCACCTCGACGGCACTTTGTTTGTCCGGAATGGCCGAGCCAAGTTTGATGCCAATGTTGATGAGAAGTGTCCATGGTGTGGGCATAAAGATGGATTTGAACATCGTGCTTGGGTGTGTCCCTTCTTTGAGTCCTGTCGGTGCCATCTTACCCCGATGCAGCGTCACCAGGTTTCTCTCTTGCCTTCTGCCTTTTCCGTGCATGGTTGGGGTTTGATCCTTGCAGAATGGGAGGTCTTTGCTGCTTTCCTCCTGGGTGATCATGGATTTCCTCGGTCATCACTTGCAAGTCTCCCCCGGTTAAAGCCTCCAGCTGGTGTGACCTCTTTGTTGATGGGACATGTGCTCACCCTGCCGAACCTCAGCTGAGATTTGGAGCGTGGGCAATCACATGGGCTACAAGAGGGCCAGGTTTCTTGGATAACCAGGTGATACTAGCTGGACATGTGCAGGGACTTTGTCAAACTGCCTTCAGAGCTGAGTTAACCGCAGTTTACCAGGCACTGTGTTGGGCAAAGGACAAGTGTTTGCGGGTCAGACTGTGGTGCGACTGCCAGGGCGTGGTTCGAGGTGTACGAAAACTCTTGCGTGGAGGTCGAGTTCACCCCAACAGAGCTCACTCGGAGTTGTGGCAGGGCATAGCCTCCATCCTTCGGAATGCTGACTTTGAGGTGCAGATCATTAAGGTGGTATCGCATTGCAAAGTTGAATCAGCAACGACTCCAGAAGAAGAATGGGCATACTGGCATAACACTTTGACAGATCAGGCTGCGTCTTATGTCAATGAAAAACGTTCACCTGCGTTTTGGCAGGCTTGGACGAACTTGTCAAAGGCTTTGGATGAGAGGCGGCGACTTCACGCCGCGGTTTTGTTGATGTTACTCAAACAATCCAAACTGGCGAACCAAGATCAGCCTCGTGTTCCGCGACCTTTGCAGCAAGCTCGCCCTGGGATTGATGTGGCCATGCCGGCAGTGCCGCAGGCTTGGAAGTTGCCTTCGAAAATGTTTCAGCGCTACGGACGTGCTAACGTTGAGGCTGTCCACAACTGGTGGCAGGAGTGCGGACGAGATGCTTTATCTGGAACGAGTGAGATCCAGATGGTGGCCGGAGTACAGCTCTTTTTTGACTTTGCTTGGACCACTGGGCACTTAGGTCCTTTTCTCCATCGAAAAAGATGGTTTTCTCAGTGTACTGACTTGCCTGCTGGAGGTGTGACTGGATGGGGTGATAGGGTGAAAGCATTTCTTTTACTGTGGAGGGCGTACATGAAATGCCAGGGTATTTCTATCCCCCATAAGATGGCTAGGCCTACTGGGATATCCATTGGAAAGTTTTTGGTTTGCTATTTTTTAAGGTGGCAGGGGACCAAAGTGGCCAGAGTGGACAACCACATCCTGCAGACGCTGGGCAGGCAAGCGGTGTCCTCAAGGGACTTTAGCTGTCTCACACCAAACTAGTTGAGATCTCGCAGCGGAAGGGTGCAGAGGCTGCGCGCTGCCTCTGTGCCTGCACATAAACGGCAATAAACGATAAACGGTAATATTTTTCAGGGGGGTTGAAGCCACCAATTAGATATATATATATATGTATATATGGATGATATGTGTACACATGTACACGATGGACACTCATGTCATCAAACCACAACGGCAACAGAATGGCAGGCAACGCTGCCAAGGAAACAGAAGGGCAGGGAATGACATGATTCGATCTGCAGTTTCTGAGGGCATTTTTCTGGCATTGACTGTCGCCTTCTAAGTCCCTAACTTCTGATGATCTTTACCCGGCCTGGTCAACGTTTACATAACGGACATAACGTTTACAAGAAAATCCACCCAAGGAAATAGTGGGTAAATCCACTATTTCGACTGGGCCATTTTCAATCACAAACTGTTAGTTTACCAGAGGGTAAGTGGATGTAAGTGGTCTTTTATTCGGGTTTTTGTTTTCAGTTCGCGGCCAGCGTCGCGTTGCGGCGAGGTTTGTGAACCTGGTGGATCCATCCTATGTTCCGCACTTTTGGGAGAAGTTCAGTAGGGGGCTCGACTGGGACTGGGAATGTGACTTGTGTCTTTGAAAGGCGCGTTTTTTTCATGGGACTACTACAAGTATTACCAGAATATTCCATAGGATTTTTCAGGGTTTTATGATGTTTTATACCTAGGATAAATGATAAATCATGATAAATCATGATAAATCATGATAAATCATGATAAATCATGATAAATCTGCAAAACCCCGGGATTTTTTGTGGGTTTTGCAACTCATGTGGTCCTTCTTCGCTTCATCAATGGGCCGAGCCGACTCTTCGCGCTTCGCGGCTTCGCGACCAGGTGGATACTCCAAGTGGGTGCTCCCCAGTAAGAAGGCCATCGAGGGGTTGGATCCATTGGGCGAGGCACTTTTTACGGATCAGGACTGGCTCCAAATTCTCAGAAAAATACCTTGTGGTAAACATACAAAAAGCTATGGTATAGATGGCCCATAGAAATAGATGGTTTACCGTTTTTAACAATGATGATTTTCCATAGCTATGTTAAATTACCAGAGGGTATCAGCTGATCGAAGTTGACTCATCTTTAAACCCAAAGAGTCACATGAAAATGAAAATTTATTCCAAAAAGTCAGTGTATCATCTTCGCACCTGCCAGCTTGGAGTTGGTAGTGACCAGTGCCAAGCTGGATCTTCATTTTTTCGGTCCCATCAGATGCCTAGACATGGAGCTTTGTTCTGAAAATCATCGAACGAAATCATTGTAAATCCATATAGCGGGAAATAATGTTTACATAAAGTAAACAAAAACATATATATATATATATTATATGGTGGAAGACCCAAATATATATATATATATATTATGTATTTGTATATCCATCTAAATCTATATTATATAGTACCAGAAATCTATGTCTCGGTACCTTCAACACCGTCGCAGGTCTGTGGCGTCAGCTGGAGCGGACCGCATCAAGGGCTGGAGGTGAGCCAAGTGACACTTGCATTGTGGATCGTATTGTTTTTTGGGGGGTTTCTGATGTTCAATCTATATATATATCTACACATATATATATATAAATACGTATATTTATTTATTTATTTATATGTGTTTTTTTTTCAGGTTCCATATTGGAGGTTGGATACCATTTGGTCGAACCTCAATGTTCATGGGATTTCGGAGAGGTTTCACCTTGAAATGGATAGGAATTCTCGCTTCTCACTATCATATTGGGGACATACATACCCGACATACCCTCTGATAATCTATATAACTTAGCTATGGAAAAGTTGCCCATATAAAATTTATTTAGAGATTATTTGCGTACTAAAAATCGTGGAGGCTGGAATGCAACTGGTACGGGGTCGTCACACCATCAATCCATATCATCTATATATATATATAATTTTGGTGATCAAAAGATGGAACAGCTGTGTACTGAATAGCTATGATTGCAGCAAGTTTTTCAAACATACTTTTAATATGTTTTCTATGTGTTTCTCAATTGGAGTTCATCCATGGCATGAATTGGTGCTGTTATTGGCACCCCTTTTTTCATCATCTAGGATTGATGGATATACACTGGTTGGTGGTGACTGGAACCATGGAATTTTATTTTCCATAATACCCGGCCTGGTGAACATACAAAAAGCCATGGAAAATGGCTATTGAAATAGTGGATTTTCCCATGAAGAATGGTGATTTTCCATTGCTATGTTAGTTCACCAGAGGGTATATGGGATAATCCTTCCCATTGACGAACTCCATCATTTTTCAGAGGGGTAGGTATACCACCAACCAGCACTGGAGTTCATGAATCATGGCTCGCACTGCCATGATTCATTGCTGGCAAGATATGGCAAGAACCGATCACCGGCTATCCTTCAATGTGAGGCCCCCAATATATCGATCAGTTGGTTTATAACTCCAATTTCACTATGGTTTATGGTACTTATAACGAACTAGTTACTGGGGCGAATCTAAACCAACTTATAACTGGGGGGGGGCACATTGTATGGTATCCCAGAAGTACACGTGTGAAGAGCTTCAAAAAAGTCCATTTCACAGATGGAACATGCTCGTGTTCCAGCACATCAAGATCATCAAGCTCCGGAGATCAAGAACGACAAAAAACTGGTTGATATCATGTGATGCTGGTTGATACCCTCTGGTAAACGTTAACAAAAAACTATGGAAAATCACCATGCTTAAAGGGAAAATCAGCTATAAATGGCCATGTTCAACAGCTATCTTAAGTTACCGGCAATCGATTTATCATGGGACGTATACTATAAACAATATGATAATGACCAGTTGACTCAGGGTGTGTTACTTAATTGGGACTCGACTCTGAAATGTCTGATGTTTTGACTATCGTGTGGATGCTTTAACTATCATATGGGGATATTATTGATAATTTCTGATATTGTATGGTGATTGATGACTAGTTCTGGGGTGCCTTTGATATTGGCAATTGTTTGCAATTGTCACAATCCATGAAATGAGAAAATACGCTTTCTGGAAAAAAAACAATATAAAGAACACCGTATTTAAAAAAATGAAAACCATGTGTTACAATCTATAAAGGGACACATTTCCGGTTTTGAACACTGAAAACATGTGGATCTGTGGATCATTGGGGATGGGGATGAGTTTGGGATGGAAATTTTTCAGCGACCAACTGATGGGCACATGCTGCATGGAACTATCATGGGTCACGAATACCCTCTGGTAAACTAACATAACTATGGAAAATCATCATTTTTAATGGGTAAATCCACTATTTCTATGGCCATGTTCAATAGCTATGTTAAATTACCGGAGGGTAATCAGGAAGAATGGCTACATATTTGGTCAAGAAATTGGATGGCTACTGAAATCTTTGATCATCAAGCTATTTGGATGAGGATAAGCTGACCCAAGCAGCCCAGAAGATGCAGAGTTTGCTAAAGCTGCTGAAGTACCATCTGGTTATTTAACATAGCCATGGAAAATCACCATTTTTAATAGGTAAACAATCTATAAATGGGCCATTTTCCATGGGTATGCTAAATAACCAGAGGGTATGATTTCGCTTGATAAAAGGGGTTGTGTGCCTGAAAGTCACCCAAATCCACCATGATTCAAGACCGTTTTTGCCCATGCCCATGATGCCCATGGCCCATGAACAGAACCATACACAATCATACACACACACAAGATTTACACTATTACTCGTTGAAGCCTAATTGTTGCTGCTCAAATCCCTGTAATAGAAGGTTACTTACAATATTGTACAATTACACTCAGAATTACCCTCTGGTAAATAAACAGTTGGACCCTGAAAATCACCAATTGTTAGAGGAAACTAATCTTCCAACCCCTATCTACCAGGGTCTATGTTAATTTACCAGAGGGTAAATCGATCATACAAAACCAAAATTTTGAGTCATCTCTGAAATCCATCAACAAATCACCATGTTGGTGCATGAATCCCCCATTTTTACCTATAGTCCATGTAGAGCCTCCAGCCAGGCCCATGTAGAGCGTTACCGCAACAGCCCGGTTGGGAAGCCCGAGCTCCGCCCGAGCTCGTCGGACGTGAAAATCCCTAGCCAACTGGAGCTTTTTGCTATGGAACATGACGAAATACCCAGCAAAATTGATGTGTTTTTGGGTGGACAATCCGGGATTGACCACTTTTGGTATATACATGTATAATACCATCTGGTTATTTAACATAGCCATGGAAAATCACCATTTTTAATAGGTAAACCATCTATAAATAGGCCATTTTCCATGGCTATGTTAAATAACCAGAGGGTACATTATAATACTGTATATACCTTCCGGTAATCAAAGATGGCAATTTAACATTTTTCATTTACGGATGACTTTTTTCCGGGGAGTTTCCAAGTTTCCATTGCCGCGTTTGATTCCCGGAGGATAGACGATATAGCCAACCAAGGATGGAAAATCTGCAGGAATTTCTTATGTTTTTTTTTCACTAAATACAAGGCAATCCGACATTTTTGTCCATCAACTCTGGGATAGACATACTTGGACCATCTAAACAATTCTTTAGATATGTTTTATTTGTTTGTTTTTAATCAGCTTATCACATCATTTTAGATATCTTCGATGTTTGGTGATCTCATTGATAAACGGAACACCTGGAAGAGTTCCTACTAGGAGGATTTGACCCATTAAACCTCCCAGAAAATTCAAACTGCAATAATGTTAGTAAAGTAATGTCATAAACCACCTATATATTTTGATGGTTTATACCACCCATTTCTGGTAATTTTGGATGTTTGACTATTGCTTTAACCTGCAACAACTGGGTTTTTCAAACGAAGGAATGAATCGGATTCACTCAACGACATTTTGCGACGGCACTTCAGCAATGAGCAGGCTACATTCATCAACATTCACTTTTGGGCAGATGTTTTTTTCGGATTCTCCGGCCAAAAACCAGCGATACCCAGAAGCTGATGCTTCGGGAAATTCTGGCGGATGGCCCTCCCCAGTGATGTGAACGTTGGTTTATAAAGCCTATGATTACTATTTTATACTGGTTGGTGGTTTGGAACATGTGTTTTTTTCCATATATTGGGAATAATAATCCCAACTGACTTTCATATTTTTCAGAGGGGTTGAAACCACCAACCAGTATAGTTTTATCTACTATACACCATAGTGAAACCACTAATTTTAGGCAAATTAACCAGGGTCCAGGATGGTTCTTTGGGAAGTTGTGGCTACGATGAAAAATGTCCATCTTGCAGAGGTTTGACCCATAGCCATAGCCATACTGGAAGAGAGACGCTGGTCAACCAGCAATTTTTTCAGAGAGCACGGTCCAGCTGAGTAATCAAAAACACATTCAAATGCCAATCATCTGGGTAAATTATAACGACCTCACTGTTCTCCCTCACTGGGAATAATGGTTAATAAGGGGAATCATCCCCAAATGGCCTTAATTCAGGTTAGTGCAATATTATAATCTACAATGTGAGGCCCCCGTTCGATAGCTAAGTTGGTGCAAATAACTCCAATAACTATATGGTTAATGGTACTTATAACGAACTAGTTACTGGGGCTTATAAACCAACTTATTACTGGGGGGGCACATTGTAAGATTACTGTAGCTCAAAATTACTGTGTACACCATATTTTGTTTGGGGGGATGCACATTCGTGTGCCATGGTCACAACTTCGGAAAATGACCCATAGAAGGGAATGTTCATCATCCATGTTCATAGGGGTTGATCATTGCCCATGAGTTGGGGAGTCCGGTTCATGGTGGGATGATCATACCCCATATACCCTCTGGTAAACGTTAAAAAAACGATGGAAAGATCCACCCATTTTACAGCTGGGTAAAGCCACTATTTCTATGGGCCATGGCTTCAATAGCTATGTTTGACATAACCAGAGGGTACATCCATTCCTCCCATGTATCTTGACCATGGCACAATGTGATTCTACGATCTTCTACGTGACTAAACATACCCTCTGGTTATGTCAAACATAGCTATTGAAAACGGTCATTTTAGTGAATTTTCCCATTAAAAATGGTGATCTTCCATAGTTATGTTAGTTTACCAGAGGGTATCCTAATTGTAAGCAACCTGATTCTCCTCTAGTATGAAATAGACCGTAGAACTCCTGTTAAATAGGGGATCTCTTCATGAATTCAGGCATCGAACATCGGGGGTAATTAATATGATGGGGGGACCCTGAAATCATACAGTTGGATACTTATTATGGCATATCTTCCAACTGTCATTCTCTCTATATTACATATGTTTCTACCATTCTAGAAAAACCCAAATAAATGCTGAACACTATATACTTCATCTATATCATCGGAATTGACCAACTCCATCTGTATTTTTGTTTGCGTTATTATCAAATTTATCATTGCCTAGAGATCCTCCAAATACACCCCAAAAAATAGTTAAAGTATTTTTCACATATGGCTTTGTCTGAAAATGGTTAGCCCCAAGCATGGTACTTTTCATCGGGAAAATGCTGATGAAGCAATGGATTTGCCTCTGAGGTCATGCACGAGAGCGTCCCAGATGAGTGCGCGAGGAGTTTGCATGAGGATTGTTTTCACACATGTATACTATAATATTTAAAAGTGTTAAATGGATACATAAACTATCACAATTGGCTGGTGGTTTCAAACATGAATTTTATTTTCCATTTCATATATGAGATGTCATCCTTCCCATTGACGAACTCATATTTTTCAGAGGGGTAGGTATACCACCAACCAAACAACAATTTAAATCACATATATTTTTTCCAACATATCAATGATGATCAGTATGAAATGGATGTATTGTTTGTTGCGTTTTTTTCTTATCAAATCATAGAGCCGTTTTTCATGGGGAGAAGGTGATCTTCCAGGGCCAATTGGTTTACCTTCTGGGTGGTATAAAGCAAGCATCAATCCAGAAAGGGGTGGTTTGTTGATATCATCAATTAGTATCATTGTTTAATCACCATTAAAACATCATGAGAATTAATCACCTTTGATCACCATCATATCACGAGTATTATTGATTGATGATGAATACTAAAAGGGAAGACCATTTTTTTGTGGGTTCCAAGGTCTGTTTTGACCCATAGCAACTGGAAGAAGAAGCACTGAACAAATGAATTTTTGGGCCAATCGACCCTCTGGTAAACAAACAGTTTGACCCTGAAACTGACCAATTTATAGTGGAAACTAGTCTTTCAACCCCGACAACGGGCAGGGTCGAACTGTTCATTTACTGGAGGGTAAAATAGATGATGACTCGTGGTGCCCTCATGATTCAGGAATGACACCTCAACTTGATAAACGGGGTGTGAAATTGGCGAGTTAACCCCCCAAATGATCATGTGCAAAATCCGGACTGCTGAGCAAAGCATTGGACATTGCGCTTGGTTTTCCCTCACCAGAATACTTGGAGGAACATCCCACTTAACAACTAGTTAGTAGCCATAGATCGTCATAGATGTAGTCATATAGTCATATAGTTATAAGTTATCACTATAGTTATAAGCCATTTATATAGGGGATAAGCCATTCTTATCGGGAACTTCTTGAGTAACTCAAGACCCCAGTTTCTCAGCGGGATGATCCTCCAAATTGAGTAATCCACATCCTTGCGATTTCATATATGATCATCCCTGTTGAAATATACCATAATAAATCAACAGGGATCATAATAAATAAAACCCATATGGGATTTCCAGGGTTAAATTGTAGTCTTATATCATACCAATTGACATACCAATGGGTTAAATTGTAGTCTTTTATCCCATACTGATTTATTATGATACCAAATTTGATTATGCATGGTTATTCACCACATTTAGCCACTTGAAGTTCTACATATCCAATAATATGGCTGAACGGGTCGTACCTATGGCGACCTTCCGAGGTACAAGCCCGTGATTCTCCAGAACGGTCTCCGTGTGAGGGCCGCCCAGTGAATAAGTGTTATATGAAACAATATGATATATGTATACAAACGATCTATGGTGATTTTGGCATATTGTATCTATATAATCATGAATCATTTGGTACGTTCTAGATTATATAATGTCTATATATATATTATACATATATATATATATATAAAACATATATGTATATATATATATATATTGTACATACATATATATATATATATCTACTATACATATATATATATATTGTACATACATATATATATACTATGCATATATATATATTCTTTATGTTTATATATTTAATAAATATACATAAAAATATATAGATATAATATATAGCATATCTAGGTACCTGATTTGCCGCGTCACCAAGGTGGGCTTCCCCGAGCCGTCCAAGGCACCCAGGCGCGTCGCTCGAACTTTTTGCGGTTCGGAAAATTTGTAGGAAATCAAGGGTCCATGGTAGGAAAAACAGTGGTTAACAAGAGGAATCATCCCCAAATGGCCTGAATTCAGGTTAGTGAAATATTATAATTTACCCAGATAGTAGTTGGGTATATCTTTCTAGATATAGTAGTTGGGTATATCTTTCTAGATATATAACATATAACCACTATATTATATATCTATAAAGACAAAACTCGTTGGTAATATAATATAGATATAACCACTAGATATAATAATTTGGGAAATGGACAACCACTATATATCTATGCGTATTGAAAATAGCAAAGCCCAATTGTATATGGCTGGTTGGTGGTTTGGAACATGAATTTTATTTTCCCCAATAGCTGGGATGATGATCCAATCTGCAAATCCAATATATGTTTTTGTTTGTTTTTGTTCAACTGGGTCAGCAGGAAATATCTAAAAACTGGTCCAAGGCCGCCAAGAATTCGCCAGCACCACCACTCTTCGGACAAGGTGCCGGGCCTTTTTCAGGTGATACAGGAAGCGATGGTTCAATGGTGGTTTTTCTATCCACCCAGAATGGGGATTGAAGTGATTGAAGCAAGAAAAATGATGGGTTCACCAGAATGAAGCAATAGAAATGGGGATTGAACCTTGCAAATAGTGATTGAAGATGATTCAACATGATGAAGTTCCAGAGAATAACAGCCTGAGAGCTGGTGCCACTGCCTCTCAAGCATGGCTTAGGATCAAATTCATGCAATCAATCACCAATTAAAAAAAAAACAACTTAGAAAAATCATGGTCTCACAGAATTTCACATTTTTTCACTAGATGTCCTGACAATTGATATACCTGTTCACTCCATTTCACGGATTTTTTACGCAAAGTGCTGCCCACAATCTTGAAATTGTGGAACATCATTTGAAGGGATCAATTGCACCCTTTTCACCCTTTGGAAGATCCCACTGAAAGGTTTGGTTGATGGTCCCTTTGGCAAAGATGAACACTGCATTTTATCATTCAAAGATATTGAAAGCATCTTTTACATTCTTTTCTATCAACAGAATTTGCTCCAATACGCGGCTCTAGAGTTTTGGATCTTGATAAAATCATATATACATATGTGTATATATATATATACATGTTTAAAGGCTTACGCCTGACAGCCGGGCGCCGGCCAAGCAATCTTGGCACCATGTTGGCCCTATGTTGGGCCTATGTTGGCCTATGTTGGGCCTATGTGGGCCAAGTTGAGCCATCTTGGGAGCTATGTTGGGTCCATGTTTGGGCCATCTATGTTGAAACGATCTTAAGATGCCAATTTTTCCGCCCTGGGCCCTGTCCTGGAGCCCAAACCCACGTAAAACCGAGGTTTTGTAACATCGCTAAGATGAAATCCCTTGTCGCCGAAGGGCCCGAAACACCGTAAAAAAACGATGTTTTTTAACACCGCACGGGTCGGCGGCAGGGGGATAACTTTCGGTTGCCACCGACGGCCTTCGGCAAGGACACGGGCTCCGTGGTTGGCGCATATGTATTTATGTGAATTTATGGTGTAGTATAATGTTTGTCATGCAATGCAATGCAATGCAACGCAATGGAATGGAATGGAATAGTAAATAGTAAGGTATGGCATGGTATTATGGTATGTTTTTTTTGTTTAATGTGCATATTGTGAAATCACACTATTATAAACAGCAAACATAATACCTACGTGCCAGGCACGCGTGGTACCCAATATAGTATAATTGAATACAATTTAATACAATATAATGTAATTGAATAAAATATAATGAAGTTAAAAATAGTATACATGATATCGACACAAATATTCATAATATGCGTTTGGAGACACCTCGCCTAGGCCTTTGGAGATGACTGATGTAGTGCGTGTAGGCCATTAACATATGGTCACCCAAAGAGGGACCTTTAAAGATGTTTGTTTAAGAAAAAATGTGCCAGTCAGCGAAGCGGACTTGAGTTGATGTAATGTGTCGCAAACCCAGTGCAACAATTTGCACTTTGATTGTGCAGCACGCAAGTAGCTGAAGCGAGTGAGTTGGCACATGATGGTAGTAGAATGTCCCAAGCAAGAGTGATTCAAGCAGATTCGCTTCATAGCCTGCCGTAAACAGATGTATACAAATCATTTTGTGGGTATGAGTAAAGTGGAGCAGTTTTCTTTAAGGCCACAACAGCATACACGCTTGGCCGGAAGGGGTCATTCGACAGAAGGCTCGCGGTGCCTAACGTTGCTTTCTGAAGCTGTAAGAAGTCAGCTCCAAATCCAGCAGCCGGGCCGGGCGAAGCTGCGATTTTCCTCTGGCGCCGCCCCCCTGCTGATGGCTGTCGGCCGATATACATGTTTACATATATACATATTTACATATATACATATACGTATATATATGTATATATATATATGTATATATAAATACATATATATATATATATATATATGTTTTTTCATATACATACACGTATATATTGACATATATTTTTGCATATAACATTAAAAAATAAATATTAATTTGAATATAAATATAAATTTAAATATAGATATTTAAAATATTATATCATATATATATATATTTAACATTAAATATATATATATATATATATATTCGTATCATTCCCCCACCCCAGTGACTGACAGGGCAACTGGCACGGACGGCAGCTCTCTAACGACGGCGTTAGGCACAGGGGGGATGCACAGGGGCAGGCCAGGTTGGCCGAGTTGGTTGAGAAATGTAAGGAAATGTAGGGTATTCACTGGATATGACTGGATTTATGGCAGGTATAATGACATATCGAACTAGTTCATGAAGTTGACTAAAACCAACTTCTAACTGGGGAAACCTTGTATCAAGTCCATAGCTGATATCAGTAGGGGCAACTCCCTCACTGAATAGGAACCATGGCCCCTTTCTATCAGCAAGGATGTAAAAACGGTGACTATTCCCCAAAGATTTTGTTGCATTGTTGCACTCTGAGAATTTGGAATATTTGGACATGATCCCAATCTGACGTTTCTAAGAAATGAACTTCAACCCCTGTATTACTTGGATGTATCCCATCTGGGGCTGACAATGGGGGAATACTAGTAGCTCAATTCGGGGCTTCAAGGGGAACGTAATAATGAACCAACATTAAGCATCAAATTGTGGTTTTGTTTGTGTTCCCAAAAGTGTCGGACATACCGTGACATACCCATGTATTATGAAACAGGGTGAACTCACCATGGGGCTCGACCATGAGGTAATTCCAGCCGGTTCCGGACTGGAATCCGCAGTTCCACGGTTTAAAACTATGAACGTAGCGGACCCCTCTGGATCTATTGAGTGGTGCGGTTCTTTTTGTTTTAACCAGGATTCTATCTATAAAAATCGCGCCAGTTGCACCCCCAAGTACCTGACAGGTATCCCCCAATAAAGCCACACTGGCTTCTTGCAGCTTTTCAACAAACCCTAGAACTAGGGCTAGCGGTCGCATGGATTTGGGTCACGCACTCCCGCGCGGCCGCCATGGCTTCGGATTTGTTCATAGCCAGTCCTGTTGCTTCGATGGAGATGGATTAAAATCTTTTAAGATCTATTACACATTTTTTCAGGGGATGATCATCCATAAATTATCCTACAGTTAAAAGCCCCACCAGTTATAGCTGGTTGTGACATGTTACTTAAATGGAGTTATCATTCCATCAATGGATTATAACTCACTTCTGGTAACACGGGCCATAAATCTTAGCTATTTGTGGTGTGAACAGCAGGGGATTCCATGGGTGAAGCGAAAAAAAACTGACCCAGGGTGAACTGACCCACGAACATCTATACAATGTGAGGCCTCCAAGATAGCTAAGTTGGTTTATAACTTATAACTCCAATAACTATGGTTTATGGTACTTATAACTATAGTTACTGGGGCCTATAAACCAACTTATAACTGGGGGGGGCACATTGTAGATCCCAGGGTTTTTTAGGGTTCACCAGGGTAGTCAGAGTCGGTCCAACCACGTTTAATCATCAGGGACCGTTTAGATGCTAAAACCGTTTAAACACGTTTAGAGCCACGACCCCAACGTTCAAACGTTGAAACATGTATGCTGTGGAGCTGGTTGAACATGTCCCAAATGAGTGATTTGAGTAATAAGAAAGAAGCACCAGGGTGGTGTCACTAGCAGCAGATTTCTCAGCGCTTGATTCTGCAAGTTCGCATGGTGTCATGCGGTTGGGTCCACAAACTCCTGAAACTCGTTTAAACATGTTGAATTAATTAAGCATTTGTTTCGACATTTTAACGAATACACTAGATTGAGGGTCCCCTACTACTCCGGATTGGTTTAAACATTTTTGGTTTAAACATTGCTGAAACCCAAAATGAAACCGTTTAAACATATATATAGGCCAAACCCTAGTACCAGGGTTTTGACGCATACCCATATCTGTCAATGTTGGATATGCAGCCTGACTCAGGATGCCCTTGGCCGTGCGGAAACCCAGCCATGGTAAGGGTGATGATCTGGGGTGCCTCAGTCATTGAAAGATCAGGAGTTCACAATAGTTCACATGATGAAATGTCATTTGTTTGTGTATTTGTGTATCGTTGTTGTTTTTTGGGGTTCCTTGAGACTTCAGATGAATAACTTAAGTGCAGAATGTGTGTCTACCTCCGTCTGATGGAGCTTCACCACTTGGGAGATGTAACCTCAATGTTTCATTGTTCCCAGGTATGTGGAACCAGATACATCAACAATGGAATAGACAATACTAGACACAGTAATCACCCACCTGGCAGATTCTTTTACAGTTGTACACATGTTCAATATATATATATATGGTTGGTGGTTTCAAATCTGAGTGTTATTTTCCAGAATAAAAAAGGGATAATCCTTCCCATTGACTTTCATATTTTTCAAGATGGTTACTGCACCACCAACCAGATATCAGTCATAGCATACGTGATGTTTTTCGACTTGGTGCTACCTTCAGCCAGGTTGGTGCTCTTCCACCGGGCTCTGTGGCCCGAAATTGAGGACCGAGTTTTGGCTGCTGATTTCACCAATGGAGTGGGGATTGAGTGGAGATGTCATTGAGAATGTCACCCAAAAAAGGATAGAAAACACAGAAAACAACACACACACACACACTTGCTCACGTGTTGTTTTCTGTGTTCACAGAAAATATGAGGAGTTCGAAGAGCAAATGATTCAGGGTTTCAGCCAAAACTGTTGTGAGTCATTTTAAACAAATGGGTTTGTCTTAAAACTTGGGGCACGTCCAAAATTTACTTTACTTCGAGTGATCCCCACCATGGCATTTCAAAGCATTCCGTGCTCTAGTACAAACCCTCAGCTACAAGTCCCATTGCAAGACTCACAGCGTTGTTTTGTCTGAAACAAAGTCTTTTGTGAGACAGATGCCCAGCTAACTCTCGAATTCATTTCATTCCACCGGTTGTTGGCTCATATTTTTTCAGACAAAACCTGAAATATGCCATCTCTTATGACATTCTTTCTGGCATATGTATCTGGCATATCTTCTGACATTCTTTCTGTCATTCTATCTGGTATATCTTCGGAGATTCTTTGTGGTTGAGGTCCGGCGCGGAACACTCTGATCCGGAGCTCGCGGTTGAGGTCCGGAACACTTTGATCCGGAGCTTGCGGTGGAGGTCCGGCGGGAACACTCCGATCCGGTGGGGAACGCTTTGATCCAGAGGTTGCTGTTTGGGTCAGGCGGGGAACACTGCGATCTAGAGCTTGCAGTTGAGGTCAGGCAGTGCCAGTGAGATCTGGAGCTCGCTGTTGAGGTCCGGCAGTGCCCACAGAGATCTGGAGCTAGCTGTTGAGGTCAGTGCCCACTGAGAAAAGGAGGAGGAGGAGGAAGGAGGAAGGAAGGAGGAGGCGGGCTGATCCAACAACCCTCACCCGACAAGTGGGGAAAAAAATGATGTTTAATCCTTATTTCCTTCTAGAACTTAAATTAGCCGCAAGAATCGGTTCACTATCACATTTTCAGCCACATCGAGGTGCTACAGAAAGCTGGAGATCACTGCCCCATTTTATCTTGTGTAAATTGCTAATGTACATGTGTACAATCATGATATCATGGGTGTAAAGTATCAACCTGTTTTTTGCTTGGAATCTTTAGATGTAATACCTGATACTGAGTGCAACTACATAATTTCTTTGTTTTTTGTGTTTTAGGTTCTTTTCAACATGTTTTCTGACATTAACTAGACATATAATATCTTGAGATATCTTGAGACTGTAGAATACTATATATACATATATATGTGTGATGATATGTGTGATCTGACATTAATCTTGGCATATATCCTGTCATCTAGCCTGAGATGCAGTATGACATATAATTTTTGTTGATGTGTATTCGGGCACACATTCTGAAATCAACTCTGACATATGTTCATTTGACATACTTTTAACTTTTGTTTTGAAGTATATATTCGGACATTTGATCTGGAAAAGTTGATGTGACATGCTGACATATCTTCTGCGGCACTCAGAGACCAAAAACTTGCTGTACGCAGTGTACGCTCAAGGCCTGATGCGCCACACAGCAGCCGGGCATGCACCCAGATTTGCACCATTGTTAAGAGGAGCGGAGCAGGAGAAAGCACCAAGAGGCACTGACACAAAATCTAGAGATTACACCTAGAGACCTCACCTGACTGGTGGGGAATGCTTTGGCGTGCAGTTTCACTTATAAGTCACTACAAACATCTTTTTGCACGGTTTTTATCGTAATTAATGGTGGTTGTTGCATTGAATACCGCAACGCGCATCCGTAGTTCTTTTTTTTTAACCCCCATGAACTATAGTTATATCATACATAATCGCCATAGAATTCACCTGGTGAATTCAATGCCTATATGTATATATATTTTTATATGTATCGAACGATTTCATCAATGGGGTTTCCGCATCCCAGGAGGTGATGTGTTGGAGCACGCCGCGCCAAAGCAGCCGGGGTTGTTGCCACTTCGCCTGTGCGCGGGTGCCGGTACTGGAGGTACCGGGGACCCGTGACACGCCGATGTTGGGCACACCACGCCCTGGGCCGTGTTCGGCCGGCCGGCGGCGCCAAACGCTGAGCTTGGGAAGTGAAGGGCGTCACATCCGGAGTTGGAACAAAGAAGTGAAACGCATGTGTGTACAACTAAGTATACACATACATACCTACCTACCTACCTACATACCTACCTACCTACATACATACATACATACACACACATACATACATACCTACCTACATACATACCTACATACCTACATACCTACATACATACCTACATACCTACATACCTACATACCTACATACCTACATACCTACATACATACCTACATACCCACATACATACCTATACATACATACCTATACATACCTACATACCTACATACCTACATACCTACATACCTACATACCTACATACCTACATACCTACATACATACCTACATACCTACATACATACCTATACATACCTATACATACCTACATACCTACATACCTACATACCTACATACCTACCTACCTACCTACATACATACATACATACATACATACACACATACACACATACACACATACACACATACACACATACACACATACACACATACACACATACACACATACACATACACACATACACACATACACACATACACACATACACACATACACACATACACACATACACACATACACACATACACACATACACACATACATACATACACACATACACATACATACACATACATACATACATACATACATACATACATACATACATACATACATACACATACACATACACACATACATACATACATACAGACATACAGACATACATACATACATACATACATACATACATACATACATACATACATACATACATACATACATACATACATACATACATACATACATACATACATACATACATACATACATACATACATACATACATACATACATACATACATACATACATACATACATACATACATACATACATACATACATACATACATACATACATACATACATACATACATACTACATGTATATATATATACATGACTATATTACATATATATATGTATTAATGTATAGATATATAGATTTATAGAGTCATAGAATATATAGTTTCATATTGTTATTAGCTTAATTTAGATTTATATATACATTCACATACATATTATGTACATAGAATATACATACATTTTGTAAGGTGTATATAGACATATATATATATATATAGAATTTCCCAATGAAAATCCATATCGGGGGAGGGGTGTGTCAAACCATTTTTATACCATCTGTGGGATGAACACCGCATCTAAACAAACTGCTGGTAGAGATCGCACCAAAAAGTCGTGAATGGGGTCGATCAGCAACCGAGAGGTAACCTGGCAAGAATTGTTCTGTGGCTTTCTAACTTTCTGCGTGAATATGGGATATACCATCCAGTTGGATGAAACTGAGCACACATCCATGACTCGGGGAGAACAGAACACACTGCCATGAAATTTCTGGCGCTGCTTGCTACCTGAGCGCGCCACTGAGCCTATCCAGATGTGACAGCCGTTTTCCATTCAGAAGGCCCGTTCGATTGGTTCATGTTGTTAGCGATTCGTTGGGTGGGGTGGGTTGCTTCATTTGGGTGTTGGAAACATATGGCCATGGATCAATACCGATGAGTACTACAACTTGTAGGGGGATGAACATCCATTTACCAGCTATTTTAATGTTCACCAGGGGTACAAGGTGTTGACCCATCCCCATATCGTAGCATGAAGCAAAAAGATCATCGCTGGGGTCTTTCAGATCTTTGGACCAGATGGGTTCCACCCAGGTGCTAGAACGTCGACACGTTCACCTCTGGCTAATGGAACAAATGAATCATGAAAAGGAAACAAGCCTTCCATAAATTGGTTTATAAACATATCCAACTGTTGTAGGTGATATATTATGTATACATCATATACGCATCTTTCGTTACATATATATATATACATGTGCATAAATGTTCACTGCAAATCCCAGTGAACTTCATTAGTGCCTACCAACTTACTCATGGTTTGATAGGGTCCCTTCTTGCAGATTTCTTCCAACGTTGAAAAACACCCACACTGCCGTACTGGGCACCCACCTCACAGAAAGCACTGACCGAAAGCTCGTTTCAAGTTCGGTCCAGCGGTGCATGTCGCGTTGCGACTCAGAAGCTGCAGCGGACTGCTGCGACGTGGATGTTTTTTTGGCACAAAATTGGTTTGGAGTTTCCAACCTGACTTACACCTACCAAAGAATGCTCCAATGATCATTATTGAAAACTAAAGTTTGAGACTTAAGATGACAGAGGGCAATTCATAGGGGAGGAACATCAAAAGCTCGGCCCGACAACATTGGGCCGTGCTCGCGCCGCGGCACAGCCGTACTGCCGTCCGCTGTGCACGCAGGGGTCGCTTGGACCTCTGCTGCTGAACCTGCTGAAGCTGGGAAGCTATGGTCACTTTTAAAGCTGGATGGTTTAGGAATCACTTAACAGTCAAGTAGTACCGCACAAGGTGGTGGCGGAAGTTTCAAAGTTAGGACACTATAGGAGAGGTGAGTTGTTGTGATGCATGGATGGCAGAGAGCAAATCCACTGATGACCGGAAGGTGGTTGGAGTTGTCGTGTGTTTTTGGAGTGGTTGCAATCGTTGCAGTGGTCACCTTACCCACAACTGCTGGATGTAGTGTGGCGTAGCGCAGTGCAGTTGTAGTTGTAGTTGTAGTGTAGTGGACTTGTAGTGTAGTGCAATCAGTGTCTCTTGTTCTTTCACACACTTGAGGTTATAAGATCTTCTCTTGTACTTGCACAGACGCTTGGGTTTGGTGCTACTTTCCCTCGTACTTTTGATGCTGCGTTACAGGGTGCTGGGCTACCGGGCCGCAGACCGGGACCATACATATATATATATATGTATATATATATATATGTATATATATATATGTATATA